TATAAATTCTAGAGATAAGTCCCTTGTCAGATATGTTATTACCAAATATTTTTTCCCAATCTGTAGGTTCTCTTTTGACTCTTTTGGAGAACAGACATGTATTTTTCTTAAAATGCTAGAATGAATGTCAAAATTTCTTAAGGCAAGGAGTAAGGGGAAAGAAGAGGAGGATGAGAAGAAGCTCATGAAGGTACAATTCATGATTTAGGCTGGGCAAAGGTCATTTATGTATGGATAAATCAACCACTCTGGAGAAAGCATTTGTCTAAAAATAGAGATCAAGATTCATAGAACATATTTGAAATTTTAGCAATATTAAACCCTGGCATACATAAGCTAATCAAAAGGTTAATTGTGTTTCAATTTTGAAAATAATAATGTTATGATATAGTATTTTCTGGATACATATCATATATACACATGTGCAGAAAGTATATTTTCATTTAAAGTATGAGTTATGTTTTAAACCTACACGTACACATACATGTGCACAGACACATACACACAAACATGTTATAATAGTTATTTGAGCTGTTGACAGATATTCCATATCTCTTTCTGGGCACATGGTAGGATTGTACTTCTTGACATCTTTGAAAGTTGGTGCGGTTTATTACATGCATATATGCCACTTCCAAGAGGAAGTTATGAGACCTGATATGTGACCTATCGTGTTACCTTTTGTCTTCCATAGCGAGTGAGAAAACACAGGCCGACATGGAGCTTCTACCAGCCTGCATGCCAAAGTGAATATAATGACCAGAAGCTCTCTGCCGTCTTGTGATAGGCAAATAGTATAATAAAGGTAGATCCTTGTTGTTTTAATCCACTGAGATTTTAGTTGGTTATTCCTGCCACATAGATTAACCTCTTCTGACTCACACACACACACACACACACACACACACAAGTGATGTGCTTAATGTAAGTGGTGAAAGTAAAAATATGAATTAACAGGAAAAATTAATTTACTCCAAACATAATATAAATGTTTCTGATGCTTTTTGTATTCCACATAATATGAACTGTCATAGAGAGATATTTGAGGTTAAAAACCAAACTCACTGCCATTGAGTCGATTGAGACTCAAAGCAACCCCCTTTGAGTTTCCAATGTGCTAAATCTTTACAGAAGTAGATTGCCTAGTCTTCCTTCTGCAGAGTGGCTTGTTTTACCCCATCTTCCTTCTGCGGAGCAGGTGGTGGGTTTGAACTGCCAACCTAGTTAGCAATCAAATGCCTTAGGCACTGCATCACCAGAACTCCTTATTACCTTGTTTTAGGTAGAGAATATTCAAATTCATGCAGGACAGATGCTTTGCTATTACTTTAAAGTTCTTCAAAAATATACATACCACAATTAAAAAAATTTAAATTATAAACAGGATTTACTATTGTTTTCCTATTATCAATTTCCCCAATAGATTAACCAGCCATTGCCTGTAATTGCACTTCTCCTGTCTCTTTGCCTCACTAACCCAAATTCTGCTTTTCTCAGAGAAGTTTCCTCTTCTCAAACAAGTTTAGAATGATCCCAAATAATATTGTCAATAATATCCTAACACCTTAGTCTTCCTCACAATAGCTCTTAGTGTTTTCACTACTTATTATAATTAACAGTTAATTGAATAATTTGTGTTCAGCATATTGGTATTGGTAGGATAATTAGTAATTCAGTCATTTTAAAAAAAATTTATGAAACCCTGACTTAGGGCCAGACATTATGTAAAATCTGAAGAGAGTCTACCTAAAAGGAGTTCCCAATATAGAGAGGAAATAGACAAATAGAGCTCAGTTTAACAAATATTGATCTGAGCCTTTGGAAAAAGATTTTGGTAGGACACAAAAATGAATATAATGTGGTAACTGCACTCATGGATTTTACATTTAGATAATGTAATTCCCAGTTTATTGTACTGTGGGGGCTTGCGTGTTGTTATGAGGCAGGAAGCTATGCCACCAGTATTTCAAACACCAACCAGCATGGTCACCAATGCTGGACAGGTTTCAGCGGAGCTTCCAGATTAAGACAGGCTCAGAAGGAAAGAAGGGGCCATCTCCTTCTCAAACAATTGGCCAGTGAAAACCTTATGAATAACAGTGAAACACTGTCTGATATATTACCTGGCAGTGTTTCATTCTGTTATACATAGAGTCGCTATGAGTTGGAGCCGACTTGACAGCACCTAACAACAATAATGTAATTCATTTTTGTTATCGAATCTAAACATTAAATTTTGTTCTTAAAGTATAATTAAGTATTCAATAGCCTTCAAAGTAATTAGATAAATAGAACAACTGTTCCACCTATGCTTTGGAAAATAAAAAATTCACTTTTAAAAAGTATTTAAACATTCTTTGATGTTCAGTCAATGTTCTGTGATGAACAAATCCCATCTTTAGAAACAGCTTTCTGGTTGGGTTTCTGTTTCTTTATCCCACTGTCAAGAAAGAGTTACAAGCTGCTCTAAAACTAAGTTCTAAACTTTCAAGTCTAAAAGCTTCATGTTTGAGCTTTCACATGGCTGGTGTTTGTCAAATTAGGTAGTTCTTATCTAATAAAGGAAATTGATGGAAGTCCCTTCTCTGCTTTCATTCAAAATCTAAAATTCGTAAACTGTGTCTGCTTCTCTGTTATTTTGTGCCCATTTGATTAGTCAAAAGGACTTGGTAACTAGCACCTTTCTGTTAAAAAAAAAAATCTTGACTCCTGCTTGGGAAAAGGGAAGATGCTGAGGGGATACCTTGAATATGTAACCATCTCCCTTAACATCTTGTTCCTCCTCCACATTACAGCATACTCTATGCCTCACAGATGTCTTAATGTAATGTCCTGATGAAGAAATACTTTGTGTCTAACACACGATATGACAGTAAACACAAACGTGCATCAAAATAGTGACAATACATAACTTATGGAACACAAATCACAGCTAGTAATTTTTGTGATACTGAAAAATGGCAAAGTATTAATCAAAATGGAGACACTAAAAACAAAGACACTATCTGAGCCTTCTCATAGAAGGTTCTATTAGATCAGGTGTTTGGTCCTCCACAAGCCTTTTTTTTTTTTTCACCCTACTTTCTTTTCACAGATTTCCTTAATATGATGAGTAACTCATTAACTTGGTTCTTTTTGAAAACTGATGAAAAATTTTTTTTCTTCCAGCTTTTTGTTTCCTAGGTGTATTAATAACTAATTCAGCCTAAAACATAATTTGAACAGATAGAAAAATTTATAACACAGAATCTCAAACACAAGCTTATACTTTCGGATTTCATTAAACAAGAAAAAGTAATATAAAAACACTAATTGGCTAATTTTTTTTTTGCACAGCTTTTAAGTATCACAGCCATTTATTTCAGTAAATACATTAGTAATTTTTTTTAGACTATATTCCAGAAAATTTTCAATCCCATTTGTTCATTTACTACTGAATTTTTAATTAATGTCTCTTCTGTGGTTTTTTGGATTTGTTCTTCCCATTAATGATAATAACCAATTTCCATAAAGTGTTTGGGAATATAAGTCAAAAATTATATGATGCTACTTTTCATTTTCTTATTTTTATGATCTTACATTTTTTAAACATATGCTCCTTTGAGAAACTGATGACAGCTTGTCCAGTGCCCCCCGTCCAACCCACATAAATATTTTTTACATACAAAAATTTGTGTGGTATACCAGAGAGATGACAGACTGAAATCCATCTACAACTCCTTTTCATCCAAAGACCCCCAGGTTTAAAACCCCTACATTCGGGTAATTGTAAAGAGAGCTGATAGATATTGCATAGCATTTTGGTATCATGTATACTATCCAGATAGACTACAATTGTTTTTTTCCTTATCCCTTAAATAATTTTTCCAAAAATAAGCTTTGCAATAATATTAACAGTGGTGCTCACTTTGGCAGCACATATACTAAAAGGGGAATGTTAAAATATGCATTCTAAATGTCACTAAATAACAAGGTTTCTTCAGAATATGACTTTTGAAAATATTACATTCAGAGATGTGAATTGATAACCTCTTTGGAACAGATTTTTCCAAGGGAAATTTTATAGTGGAAACATGGGAAAATGGGATTTGATCAGAGAAATCTGATTCACATCAATTTATCATGAAAACAGGACCTCTAAAAATTAAGTGTAACTAGGTGGGAAAATGTTCCCAATGAACTCAAATAAATACCTCATCTGTCATTAAGGTTGCAATTGATCTGCCAATCTCATGGTACTGTTGACCCTTTCCCAGGGGTCCCAGAAGAATGAACAAAAATCTGTAATTAAGAAGAAAAAAAAAGAAATGTTTCAAGGCAGAAAATAAAAATAATTTTAGTAGTACAGAATCACTAATCTTGAAGGAATTACTGAAGTTTGGGGGTTTTGATGTAAAATATTTCCAAGTTTTTCATAGATTATTATTATTTTGAAATATTTTACAATGGTGGACTCTTATTTATTAAGATCATAGAACAAAGGGACTAAGTACTTTTGATCTTAGTTCTTCCTCATTTAGTTACCCTGTACAGCCTATACAACTGTTGGGGATTTCAAGGATTTTGTAATCTTTAGAAGGGGAATGTGGTAATAATGCAAAGTAAGCCTCATTAAATTCTTCTCAACAGAAAGAAAGGAATTCATTAATATGGAAAATGAAGAATTATTTGGAAGAGGGGAAAAAGGTAACATAGCACAAATAGAAAAATTAAGGTAGAATAAACAGTAGGGATATATGAAATTTGCATTGAATAAAAAAAAATTGTCAGGAATCAAAGATTAGCTAAGCGGAAAAAATGGGGAGTTCATGATCTGTTAATCCCAGTGCTAGAGCAGAAAAAACATCAGCTGCATTGTAATACTCCATCCAAATTAAGTTGAAAATCTGGGAAACTCAATCATCACAACTGGAACTTTTAAATAAATCAATGTGCACTCTAACTTTGAAGGCCTAGTAATTGTCCTGTCTCTGAAAACGTCACTGCTTCCGGGAAATTATGAAAATTAAAGAATACTCTATATCTTGCAATAAAGTTCTATGGTGTTAATTTGTTAAACAATTTGTGTTAATAAGTATGAAAACTGATGGCTTTATATGGTGGACTGAGAGAAGTAGCATAATTCTACTCTCGATTAGTCATAAATTTTAGAGATTATACATGTTTTTACAGGGTCTCATTTATCCATTTTTTGCATCAGGTTTGACTGAATACAAGTCTATTTCTACTATATAATAGTGTTCAGTATACATTTAAAACAGGAGTTATTTAATGTGGTGGCAGATGCTTTGTCAACTATAATTCTTTTAAGAAATTTCCATTCCATGGACTATTTATAAAGTCTTAAAATACTATTTCCTGATTTTTTTACTATGTTCTTTTGTCCTCCTAAGAAAATGTCACTAGGAACCCTAAATGGCTTTCTTCTATTTGTCAAACGACCTTGTTCCCATTTTACACCTTTCCTAACTAGCCTAGCCTTTTGAATCTCTCCTCATAAAGTGGCCCTAAAGTGCCCCTCATTTTTTCTCCATTTTGCTCTAAACGTAATTTACTATGTCAGTATGAAATGAGGTCACCTAAACCTGACAGCTTTTAATGAGAGTATATATAACCCTATTATGGATTTTCTTTACTCCTGGGAACTTTCCTTTTCTCGCCTGTGAAATATAGGAGCTATCATTGTCATAAATAGCCATCATTTACTCAAAGTTCACCAGACACCATCCTAAATGGTGGAAAGAAATGCACTGCTTAGAACACTGAAAAGAAATATTAAGCTCTGTTACAATAATACCTCTACACTTAGTAAAAAAGGTGCCCAGGTGACGTGGTGGTTAAGTGCTCAGTGGCTACCCAAAGGTCAGCAATTTGAAACCATCAACCACTGAGCAGGAGAAAGATGTGGTAGTTTCCTTTCCTAAAGATTACAGCCTTGGGAACTCTGTTTGGCACTTCTGCTATGTCCTGTAGAGTGGCTATGGGTTGGATCAACTCGACTACAAGGGGTTCATGCACTTAGTAAATCTGACATCTTGAATCTGAATCCCAGATTCCCAGTAACTCTGGATTGGTTAGATGTTGTGTGTAGAAAATAATAGCCTTAATTATATAATCAGATGCTACTTTAATGTGCTTAGCTCATCCTTCTCTTTTTAAAGAAAATTTGGTATGCATCAGAATTTTCAATAGCCCTGAAATAGGATAAACAGAAACTTTTTTCTATAGCCTGAATGGTAACCAGGTTCCTGCCTCAAACTACATACAGTCCAGCATAGGTACTGGTACATTGAATTCCATTCTAGTCAGCCAAACTCTTATAAAATAAGGCCTCTCCTTGCTTTATTATTCCATATTTTTAGCCTATCTTTTTCATAATCAACGCCAAGAGTGATGTAACCTGCTGTGTTTTAATTCCACAAACCCAGTTGCTATAGCCCCTGAATTTGTCGTCATTTTTATGTGGCTAAGTAGCATAGTGCCTAGAGCACTTGACCGCTAACCAGAAGGCTGGCTGTTCAAACCCACGGTCAGTCCTCAGAAAGAAGGTTGGGCAATCTACTTCCATAGTGATACTGCCTTGGAAAACCAAGGAGGAGTCGCTATGAGTCGGGTCTGACTCCACGGCATGTAACAACAACAACAACAAGATATTTGGTATTTGGAGGAGGCTGTATATTAACAACATCTAAGACAGTTGCACACTGAACAAAGGGCACAGTCATGTCGTTATATTTTGCTGTGAAAAATAAAGTCAGAGTGCCAGGCTGTACATCTATACCAAAAAGCAAATTCACTGCCATAGAGTCACTTCTGACTCATGGAGACCTCCTTTGAGTTTCCAAGGTGTAAATCTTTACGGAAGTAGATTACTCAGTCTTCCTTCCATGGACTGGTTCGTGGGTTTGAACTGCCAACCTTCTGTTAGCAGTCAAATGCCTTAGGCACTATGCCACCAAAGTTCCTTTGTACATCTATAGGAATCATATATGATGACTGGAGAACTGAAAACAATGAGGCTTCCAGAGTGAACTCTAGGGACCTGAAGTATTGAAGTCAACATTTTTTTTTCTCCTCACAGTTTCACCCAGGGACAGCCATGTATTTCTAAAATGAATGGTGAACAACAATTTTTTCATATTATTCATAAATTATTAGTTTTTGTGCATAGTTACCTGAAAAACAAGTTGAGCTAACCGAATTAAATTGGTACCTTTGACTCAGATTCAACTGCACTACCATGATGCAACTACCAATGACTATTTAGACCCCATGTGTTTGTGCCTGGGATACATGTTCCCAGGTGGTTTGTGCCTAGAGTGAAAATATACAGCACATTTGATAGGGCAGAAGCTATCCTAGTAGCTTAATGATGGCACTTAAATGTATTTTGAAGGTCTACTCATTCGAGGATAAGCCAAGCCTTGAGAACTGATCTTTTTGAGTTTGACCACAACTGTATATATATGGGATCCTCTCTTTAGCACATAGTCTAATGCAATCTTTGAGAAAAGCCTAACACTTCATCACTTTTTTCCTCCTTCAGAAATAAGAAGAAGCAATCATTTTATGGATCACACATTAGTTTCCTGACAAAACTCTAATGAGGAAATTTTATTTGCTTCCTTTATTTGTCCCTAATAAAAAAAACAGTAGAAGAGAAAATATGAAAGATACTCTTGTGATTTTACCTGGTTGGGATTGGGACTTCAGCCAGCCCTTGAAGCAGAACAGCTGGAGACAACCTGACAAACGCAACTACTGTTCGATCCAAAAATTCGAGTTCCCCAACTAGGATGTTTGAAGCTTCAGCTCCTGGAGGAATCTTTTTCATAAAGTGCAGATCAACCTGAGAGTATCATCAAGTAAAATTACATAAGTCAAAATCAAATAATTCTTAAAGTCATTTTCTAGCACAATGCTTCACATATGGTAATCCATCAACAGAGAAAGTTGAAATACATATGATTATTATTTTTAAAGGAATCTTTATATTAACAAACTTAAAAATTTAGGGCTGAAAAATGTATTTGCTCAATTAAACAAATACTTTAACCAGAATTTAATTTGCATTTTCCTACAGATTTACATATTTTGTACTACATTACCTTTATTTTTGTACATATTACAATTGATATTCAAAACATGCGTATTATAAGAGATATGTCATCATGTCTCTCCTTACAGCACACACGATGAGTTTTGCCTTCATTATTCTAGTTGTTCTATATTCTTCACGTTCTATACCTGATCTGACAGTTCTTCAATTTCAGTTTTTCAGCACAGAATTTTAGAAATGGTGAATAGAGAAAACAAGAATAAAATTATTAACATTTGGAGTTGTTAAAAAGCCAAAGTTGAATTTGACATGAGATGTCTATGATTCAAATGAAAACACACAAAGGAAAAGCAATCATAAACAAGAAAAAATGCTAAGTAAACAGTAAAGTATGAAGTCTGAAAAATGGATGTGGAAGGCGTGTAAGAATAAATTTCAATTTTTATGCACAGAGCCTCAGTTTCCACTCCAAATCAAGCAGTGACTTTAAAATCAATTCATAAGGTCTACTATGTCTTTCTAAAATTCATTTGAGTTGCTTTTATGGAAACTTGTTTGTAGGGACAATGAAAGTTTATCTGCTCTCCCAGTTGGTTTTATACGCTCATGTTAATGAGATGGGGGCCAAACATCAAAGTGGGAATGGCTAAAAGAAACAGAAGGGAGAGTTCTGGCCAATGTGGGTGAGGCTGAGAATTTTTAGGCCAGCCTTCTTCTGTAGGCTTAATGATTTGGATTTTTTTTCCCCCAGAAGTTATAAATAAAACTACGTAAAAGTCTGAGGAGGAATACATTAGAGAGTCCATAGCCCCATTGTACTGACTAGATTAAACATGCTACTTTCTAAAATCAAGATCTCATGAGTGCTTTTGGGAGGTTTGTAAATAGTTACTTTTCTCCATAAATACTAAGGGCTCCACAAACATAAAGCCCAGGAAAAGGAGTATACATTTGATCACAAAAATTAAAAACAAAAATAATCTACAATATCTCTTTGAAAATATCGAATAGAACCAATGCTCTATTTTAAAGAAAAATAAACATGAATTAATGGAGGAAAACTGCCTTTAACAAGAAATGTTGTTGTTGTTGTTGTGTGCCGTCGAGTGGGACCGACTCATAGCGACCCCTCCTTGGGTTTCCGAGGCAATATCACTACGGAAGTAGATTGCCCAACCTTCCTTCTGAGAAATACATGACAAATATAATACATTACAAAGTTTTAACCTATCAATATGAATTTAAAATAATTCACAATGTGTATACACTGGGATATTATATAATATCTATATTTCTTTTGTAGAATCTAACATTTTAATTTGTAGATCCAAAAGGCTACATTTCATGGAATTTATTATGATGTTTTTGTATTTATTTTTCTAGCTAGGAGAAATGTATACATGAGAGAATGCTTTGAATTAGCTGTTGTTATTGTTATGTGCCGTTGAATCGGACTCACAGTGACCCCTCCTTGGTTTATGAGGCGATATCACTACGGAAGTAAGATTGCCCAACCTCCCTTCCCAGGAGTGGCTGGAGGGTTTGAACCTCCAGCCTTCTGGTTAGCAGTCAAGTGCCTTAGGCACTATGCTACCAGAGCTACTATTTGAATTAGTAATGCTTTACTGTAATAAATTCCCAAAAAAGAGATTTAAAAATTTCCCATGCACTTTCAGGCCTTGTGAGAAACAAGAAAAAAATCTTCGAAAGTTTTTAAGAGCCTAAAAGAGTGAATCAGTTTTTTTCCTCCAATAGAAAGAATAATCATAAAATGTAAACACACAAGAATATAATTTAAAATGAGAAAATAGCTTTTTAAACAAATCTATAATTTATTATCAATTTGAGTTATATTAATAATAATTGCTGTAACTTTAATGAAAAGCTTCAGTTACACCTGGAAAACTTTCTCCAAACTCATGTATTACTCAAGAAATGTCAGCCTTAACTATTAAAGTCTGTGCCTCAGGCAATTAGCAATTGTAGAAATAGCTGCTTCAAGATATAATTTAATTAAATAAAGGATTATGTAGTATATTAAAATAGTTTAATTTTATAAAAGGAAATGTTTGGTTCTTACATATTATTTTTGTTCTATTATATAATACCTAATATATCACTGATACCAGTTATTTAGAAAAAATCATACCAGTTATTTAGAAAAAATCATTAAAATACACAGAACTTAGTTTCCAAATAAATTAGAATGTTTTCACTCTAAAATGTAATAAATTTATAGTATATAACTTAAACTGCAGACAACCACTATATTATATTATCCCTGGATTATCAATGCATTTGGGGTAATAGTTAATGTATTATCTTATTCTTCTGAACAGGACCTTGAAGTAATCAAGCCATATAAAACCTAGATCTGGATTTATACTCATGTTTCTGGTCTCTCCACATCCAACTTTTATGCTAAGAGGAAAAAGATATTTTATTCTGAGAATTTGGTACTTAGGCTTTCAGTGAGAAACATTTCCATCTCTAGGGAGAAAGACTATCAGAAGGTTATAATGGAACTGGAAGTGTCTGGGCAAGCTACATACAGAGATGTTGTGAAGAAAATTCAGATGGAATTTTAGGGAGAAAGTTTAAGTCTTAAAGCTATTATAGAAATAAAACCAGAAAAACCAAACCCACTGTCAAGTCAATTCCAAATCATAGCAACTCTACAGGACAAAGTAGAACTGCCCCATAGGGTTTCCAAGGCTGCAGATCTTTATAGAAGCAGACTGTCTCATCTTTCTTCTGCAGAGGGGCTGGTGGATTTGAACTGCCAACCTTTTGGTTAGCAGTCAAATATTTTAATTACTACACCACCAAGGCTCCTTCTACTAGTACAGAAATAGGAGAGAGTTAATAGGGATTTTCTGGGGAGAAATGGTATCATGACACTAACATGATCTTGAGCAGCTCTCTTAATATCTCTGGGATTCATTCAGCTTTCTTACCTATTATATGAGAAGATGTCTAAGGTTTCCTAGACTTCTAGGATTCTATAATCCTACTCCTTGTAAATGTATTATACATTTAAGATAAATGCAGACTTCAAAGTTCTTCCCCCATAAAAAAATTTGAAGCATTAGTTGGGTCATTTGCAATAAGACAAACACCACCAATATTTGGGAAGTACTAAAAGAGCCATTTTTTATATGCCTGTTATAAAACAAAGAGACATAAAGTGTTCTGACAAATCTTTTTAAATGCATTATAGGAAGTTAAAACCTGACAATTCAGATTATATCAAAAATACTTCTTAAATTAACAAATTTGATGGGCTTACCCATTGGAAGGGTAAAATTATGTGGAGGGAACAGAGATAGACTATAGGATCAAGTTGCACGAAACAAACACCTTTTTAATTTTTCACATCTCAAAGTTCTCCTTAGATTTTGAATCTATATGCTAAGACTGAAAATATTCCAATGGACAAAATAACCTGGAGACTAGATGAACTTTGATAAATTTACTACCAGACTGAGATCATGAGGCTACACAACCTTAATTCATACACTTGCAAAATCAGGCACTACCATTTGTTTCCTTGGTGCTCAATCATGACTGCTCTTTTCAATGCACCACCCTTCTGCCCTCCCAGGTTAAATGGGAGGAAATATAACCCAGGGTTTTCTTACTAATTCTAACTCTTACTAATTCTAAAATTAAATGGTTACATTATTTTAAATCTCATAGAATTCATTCAACAAATACGTCCTAGGCACTGTTCAAGGCATTAGAGATTCAGTGGAAACAAAAACATTAGATTTTGCTCTAGTATTTGTTTCAGACACTACTATTTCCACTAATAATGATAAAAGTAATAATAACCACCTTTTATTGAGCACCTACAGTAGGCCAGCACTTTGCCAGGCTGTCTACATATTATCTCGCTTAATTTTTACAACAAATCTCTATACAGGTATCATTATTCTCATTTTACAAATGAGAAAAGGGAAGTTCAGAGAATTTCTCCAAGATCAGATAGCTTGTAAATGCTATTTAAGTTAGAATTCAAGCCCTCATGGTTTTTCTTTAAAGTCATGTTCTTTCCAATGTACTATGCTACAGATAAGAAACTGAGAAATACTGATAGTTGGTATGGATAGAGAGCTCTAGAGGTTTAAATTGTCTACAAAGAGATGGAATGAGCCAGTGAATAAAAATGTATAGGGAAAAAAAAAGGTTAAAGAAAATAAAGTCTATTTTTCACTCTCCTGTGGTTCTTTGGTAGCACAGTGCCTAAGGCATCTGACTGCTAACCAGAAGGCTGATGTTCAAACACACTAGCCACTCTGTGGAAGCAAGACTGGGCAGTCTACTTCCATAAAGATTTACCACCTCGGAAACCCAATGGGGGTCACTATGAGTCAGAATTGACTTGAGGACAGTGGGTTTGTTTGTTTGTTTGGTGGTTCTCATTGTTTCAGAAGACCTGAAGGTGAGACTACTACTGCCTCTAGTTGGCAGTCTTCAGTTCCTTTCAAATGTGATGAAGTTTTTCTGAAGGCTGCAAAGATAGATCCCACAATTATATGTAAAAAAATATGGCAATATAAATTTGAGTGTCAAAGGATGAGCCATGTGGTTTGTTATCATTGCTTTTGAGAAGTTAAAAATGCCCTTGTTATATACTGTTAATGCCTGCATAAGTGAGTAAGCAACTACTTATGCCATTGCTTTTAAGATAGTGTTTCAAGTTAAGTATACCAAAAATTAAATGTATGGCAGTTTGAGACTATAATTTTATTCCAGCTTGCAGATGAATGAAGATGTAATGCTTTAAAAGGATATCTATTTGTTGGAGTGGTAGATGGAATACATTTAAACTGGCTTAATATTTTAATCACACATTTCCATTTAGTGAAATGAGCTTGAACCACTGCAGAAACAGAGCCAGAGTGTGCCCTCACCTCTCTCTCTTGCTGATGTGGAGGTCCTTTTTCATGTCTTTGTTTCATCCCACATGGACTAGTATGCCCCTTTTGTTGGCCTCCCAGTCCCTGCACGCACAATTAACAGACTTAAGCTCGTATACCACGGTCCCACAGAGACTCCGCAAGGCACCAGAAGGGAGAGCATGCACGTAACTAGACCTAGATCCTGTAGGCATTGGCTGAGGGATTCCCAAACAGCTTCAAGGAGCTGATCACTATTAATCTTTTTGAAACTTGATTCAAGATACTTCCTCCACTCTTTGCTCCCATTCCCACCCATTCCCACTGTTACAATTACTGCCAGTACTAAAAGCTTTATTAATATATCACTCTAAATTACTAGTGTTTCAGCCACTCAGATAAAGGGACGTCGCTTTCTGCCAGTATTGAAACTCCTCCTCTTTCCTCTTTGTTAGCCTATTACGGCACTTAGTTCAATGTCAGCAGAATTACATTATTTTGATATTTATCATTTTTGTAACACAATTTCTCTAGTAAATGATTTCATCTTGAATTGTTTCCAATTAGATGCATACTTCAATATAAAACCAAAAAAACCCCAACTCATTGTCATCGAGTCCAATCCGACTCGTGGTGACCCCTATTGGGTTTCCAAGGCTGCAAATCTTTATAGAAGTAGATCGCTCCCTCTTCTTTCCATGGAGCAGCTGGTGAGTTTGAACCACTGACCTGGGTAGCAGACAATTGCCTTATCCACTACACCACCAGAGCTCTTCAATATAGTCAGTGCATAATAGGGGCTGACTTATTTATTATTATTAAATACATTTTTATTCAAAACTCAGCTCAGTCTTATTATATCTTCCAAGTGTTTCCTTATACTAATATCTTTCTCTAAATTGCAATGACAATAGAGCTTTATAACATATGATTTGCTTTTCCAAAATCATAGGAAAAGTGATTTTTGGGGAAGAAAAAACTAACAAACGTCTTTAAACAATGAAATTAAACTTGGGTTAAGTGGCCTATGAAGTCCAGTTTTTCTTTGTCATTGGAAGTGATGCATTATACCGAGTGGCTGAAACCTGAGGACTATGTATAAAACTTACACATTTGGTTTTCTGAATAAGCAAAACTTTACATGTAGACTTAAATGTTAACATTATCTATAAAAATATCAAGATTTGGCTAAGAAATAAAATGGACATGCTAAAAATTGTGTCAACACCTCTTACAAATGAGTAGTAATTTCTAGTAGTAATTTATCAGCTTACTTAGATGAGAGGGAAAAAGCTTACCTTGCTAAAATCAACGGTGCTGTTTTCTCTGCTCACATCGTTTTTGTTTTCAACACAAGCTGGAGCAGATTGAGGTGACACCACCTGACCTGCTAAAAGAGATATTATTACAGAATACAAACAATTACTTACATAATTCTAGGCCTACTGAGTGAAATATAAATTTCAATTAAACTAGACCAACAGGTTTCTTATCAAGTTTATGATGTAAGCATGAAGGGTCAATATAAATAGATTTTTATCAATGCAAAAATTCTCACTTATCAGTTAAAGATAGAAATGGGAGAATTCAGTCAAGAAATTTTCAATCAAGTCTCAGATTTAAACTCAAACTACCAGGTTATTCTCCATTAAGGAAGATCATCTAGAAAAAAATTCAAATCTAATCATAGTTTTGAGATATCACTGATTTCTAAATTTCAGTCAAAACTAATGATGTACTTTTTAAAAAAAGAGAGAAGATAGAAATCTATTATGATTTAAGCTCAGACTAAAGATTTTAAAACATAAAGCTTAAAAAAAAGGATGAATATTTATTCTGAAAGTTCACAGCATATTTCTATCTTCTATTGCACCTAAAACAGTAGTGAGAAAAAGTTCTTTGATAATTGGTTTTGGAGATTCCTAAAAGAGAGGCTCAAGGAGTCCTTCAGTGGCTCAAAGGGTTAAGCACTGCCCTATTAACCTAAATATTACTGGTTCAAACCCACCCAGAGAGGCCTCGGAGGTAAGACCAGGAAATCTTCCAAAAAGTCACAGCCTTGAAAACCCTATGGAACAATTCTATTCTGCACACATGGGTCACCATGAGTCAAAACTGACTTGACAACAACCACTACCATCACCAACATACGAGAGGTTCAGTGTCTCTGGGTGACCTAAATAGTTAACTGAAAGGTAAGCAGTTCAAGACCATCCAGGGGTACCTCCCAAGAAAAGATCTACCAAAAAATCAGTCATTGAAAACACTATGGAACACAGTTCTACTAGAACACACTTGGCGACATCATAAGTCAAAATCAACTCCAAGGAAATTTTTTTAAAAAAATTTTATTTGACAGATTCAGTTAGAAATACCTTTACCTCACACAGTATAAACATTGTGAATATGATTTTATGTCTGTCATTACTCAATGGTGTAAGCATACTGATGTTGGTCTGCACAAGAAAATATCAATAAACTTGAAACATATTGTTGTTGTTGTTATGTGCCATCGAGTCGGACCTGACTCATAGCGACCCCTCCTTGGGTTTCCAAGGCAGTATCACTACGGAAGTAGGATTGCCCAACCTTCCTTCCGAGGAGTGGCTGGTGGGTTTGAACCGCCAGCCATCTGGTTAGCAGGCAAGTGTCTTAGCCACTATGCTACCAGAGCTCCCCCCAAACATATTAGTATTCTGTAAATGCTAATGAGCAATGTAATTATTTTATAGTCTTTTCTCCATTACAGAGAAGATAATGATACTACTTAGTTGACATCAGAGCTAGGAATGGGACAATGTTTAATGAAAAAATAAGCCCATTGCCATGGAGTCAATTCCAACTCAGCGACCCTATAGGACAGAGTTGAATTGCCCCATCAGGTTTCCAAAGCTATAAATCTTTATGGAAGCAGACTTTCCCATCTTTGTCCTCTGGAGTGGCAGTGACCTTTTGGTTAGCAGCTGAATGCCTTAACCACTGTGCTACCAAAGCTTCTTTAATGGCTAGTAAAAGTTAATGAAAATTCCATTGTTCACTTAATTTGAAACATTCTTTGCAATCATAGTCACCTGAAATCTGTCTATATTTAGCAAATAACTGATAAAATGAATGAGGTTTACTTAATTTCATATGTATCCCTGTTCTTCCCTAACCTCTTATCATCCTCTCTTGACAACTTAACTTTGAAATCGTGACCGTATATATGATTGCAACTCAGTGGCTCCAAAGTTCTGCTCTTCTGATTCCCATCAGTCTTAGACATCGAGAATATCCTTCTTTCTTAGCTCTTCTCTCTACCTAAGTCCCAACTTGATTCAAAGTTCACCTTAAGTCTTACCTCCAACTACTGGCAATCTCTACTTATCTAGACTTCTCTAAACTTTTAGTGAAGGAGCAAATAAACCTTTTCTTTGAATTCTTTACAGAAAACCCATTCATTCTTTGCTACCTACAAATTACCAAGTATGATTAATAAGTCTAATTATTTACTTTCAAATATTGCTATAATTTTGATGTTTAGACCTCCAAGTCTCTCAAATAGGGGTGGTAAATTAATAGGTATAATTTTTTTTGGTTTAAAATTGTTCTGTTGCCAGAAAGTAAGAGCCTTAGGACTCTTTTAGAGCTTAAATATTTCTCCTTTTTAGCTAAGCAAAGTAGAATACTACATTTTGTGAAGATAAAATAAAATGACTTTTTAAAGCAAATTCACCTCAAACTATGCACAAAATTTCTTATTACAGTATATTCCAGGGAAATGTACACACTTCACAGAAATGTCAGACTTAACTGCATAAATTATTTTTATTCTCCCATTTCTAACTGCAATGTGCAACTATGACTGTGAACTGTTCATTAGCAGCCATTCAAGTTACCATTCTCAAAGTAATAACTGTAATATTTTTTTAAAAAAAACCTTTTATGTAATGAATTTGTGCTACTAACAGATGTCTTCAATCACCAGTTTCACATCATTTCTCCATATTTCCATGAGTTAGAACATTAGATATATTTAAACCTAAATTTACTGAATGTTCTGTAAATTTGAGTGGTAAAATTCAAGGCATGGAAAAATTAATAACTATATGTCTCCTTTTTTACAATATTTTATGAAACAACATGGAAGAATAATTATTTAATTCCACCAGAAAACACACAAAAAAGAGAGTTAACCCAATGCAAAATCATCAACTTTGTATATATTGAGCTAGACAGAAAATATGCTGTAACTTAAAATTTTAAGAAATTGAATAGCCTATGTTTTCATTTGTATACTTTAAGCAGAACATTTCATAAATTACCTTCAGGTCCTGTAATATATTTATAATATTATCACTTGTATTTCCTCTTATAAATATTTTAATATTTATTGTTCTATGCTATTCTTATTTTAAGATTATTGAAAATTTATGAAATATTACATAATAAAGTTGATAATTGGGAAGATATTTGGATATTTTCATGAATATTTTAAGTGATATTGATAATAACCTCACTAAGAGGGTTTAAACAGTAGGAGACATACTAGATGACTGTAAATTCCATGCTCATTCTAGATTGCAGGTATATGCATAGAATACATGCTAATGCAGGAAAAAAGTATAAGAACTATTGCCTTGTGATATAGGAATACAAACCACAAATTTAGAATCTTTTGTATTTCTGAGATAGTAGTTAAGTATTAGTTGTTGTTGTTGTTGTTATGTGCCATGGAGTTTGCCCTGACTCAAAGCGACCCCTCCTTGGGTTTCCAAGGCAGTATCACTATGGAAGTAGATTGCCCAAACTTCCTTCCGAATAAGTATTAGTAGAAAATATTAATAAATTTTTTAGTCACATTAAAAAGTGCTGTAAAGTTTGAAAAGCATTCCAAATCTTGATATTATTTTTAAATATGTACATTATTTGTAAAAATGAAACAATGCACACTAAATGTGTATATTTCCAAGGCAGTTTCTGAAAACTTGATAAGATACAGAAAAGTATACATTATTAAAAAGTTAAGCTAACGAGTATAGCTTGAGTTATTTTAAAAAAACAAATGTGTGTGTTATTGAGTCGATTCTGATTCATAGGAGCCCTGGTGGCACAATGAATCCACCAGCCACTTCATGGGAGAAAAGACTTGGTGGTCCTTTTGTCCCTCCTGTGAACATTACAGCCTAGGAAAACCTATGGGGGCCATTCTACCCTGTCCCATACGGTCACTGTGAATTTTTTTTTTTTTTAAGCTAATTCTAAATTAAACTTAAAATTTTATTTAATTATTTGCTATGTATACAGATAAAATCTACACATGGATTATAATCCATAGAACTACTGGAAACTTCATAAATTTTTACAGTTCTGCTACCAGTTATAATCTTTGTTCCATTAAAGTAGAGATTTCTTTAGTTTATTTCAATCATTTATGCCTTTAAGAAAATGATGAGGGGTTTGGATTTCACAATGAATTCCATTAACTTAAATACTATTACATAAGAAAAGTCAGTAAATTGGGGTTTTGAAATGGTATTCCTTATTTTCTTGCTGCTGTCTATTCCAAAGAAATAACAGTACATAGAACAACAATTTTTAGGCACAGGACTTTACTTTCAGCTAATAGTGAATGTGTTTCCTAATAGAACAATGAAGAATTTCCTCCTCCCAGACAAAAGAGTGTAAATTTAGGATTTAGCTTTCATGCATATGTGTGGAAAGTTTATAAAAACTAATTGTTTATGGTAATTTTTCTAATTGCTACACCACAATGCTTGCAAACATAAATATTTTTGTCTGCTTCTTTATATAACGTTCACTTTGCCCACTAATGATTGTCCCTATCAATATTTCCCATAAGTGAATATCACTACAATGTTTAATACACGTTATTATAATATCTAAATACTTTAGAGGTATGAAGATATCTATTTACAGACTGGCAAAATAGATTAAAAGACATATGTTAACTCAGTAACATTATGTTCAAGATAATTATTCAAAAAATGGTTATTCAAAAAGTTAGTATTAATTGGTAATTGTCCATGACTATTTCAATGTAAATGTTTAGAAAAAAACCTACCATCATCCTTTATTTACCTCATAGATTTTATTTTTTGACCTATTAAATTCAGAGTTCTCCATCCTAAATCCAAAATTCTAATATTTATTATCCATTTTTCAATTAAACTACATATTATGCAGTATTCATTGAAGCATCTACTTGAATTCATTTTTTTGAGTCATGAACTCATTTTCTTTTAGATAACCATGTAATATTCATTTATCAATTACATAGAAAATTATTATAAATCACACATTTTTCTAGGACAAATCATGAAGGAAATTTGAGTGACTACTAACTAGAAAAAGGAAGCTTTGCTTATTTGCTTGTTACATCGTACATTT